ATTGTCTTCGTATCTGTTACGGTTTAGAATATAGCAATGTTGCCACATGATAAAAAAAACGGCCTGCATATTTTGCCTTTATCTTTAGAAAAAAAGCTATGAATTTCAAAAAAAAAATACTTTCTTTCGAGACGTTCAGGAAACAATTTGTTTCACATTTCAGAATCCTAGAAACCGTACATCATTGTATAAATGTCAAATTCAAAAACTTTTTAAATTGCTTCCTGAATGTCCATCATTTGGACAGTGAAGACATGCCTGAAGAAGTTATAGTTAAGCTATAGTTTAGTGAGAATTTCACAAAGTGTTTTTTGAAAATGTTATGAATTTTCATCAAGTATCGGCCAATTCTGTCACATATAGTTGTAATAATATTGACAAATTTTGGCATGATGAAATTTTACCTCATTATGAGTTCAGAAACAATCTTGAAAGAAGTATTCAGTGTGGAAATATATTCAATATTTTTACAAAATTTTACTAAATCTAGTTTTGGTTTATTCCTCAATCTGAGTGGTATCTGCATGAAATTTTCATTCAAAATATGTTTAACAAACAAACACGAATAGTCTATCTACTAATAAAATAATGAAACGTAGAAGTTTGCCTCTACCTAAGCTTTTGAAAAGTTTGAGATCAATATTGATGTTGGTTGATAATTTTTCAATAAACCATGAACGAGATGAATATAATGGAATCTGTTTGGGAATCTTCTTCGCGAATAAAGATTTATATACCTACACTCAAAGGCTTCTGAATAAGTCTGTTGTCATATAATCGTCTCAACAATTTCGAATAATTCTCATTTCTTTCGTGACCTTCATCTCAGGTCTGTTGAGCTACACTAGACTCCTCTGGTCTACTGTACTTATCTCGTCTACGGAACCTTTCCTTCATTTCGTATGTTTCTTTACTCAGAGAAAAATCAGCTCATCAACAAAATAATTAAGCACTGCCCCTTTTTGTTGAATATGAAGTTGGTAGTTCAAATTGCTAATATTCCTTCAAAATACAGCAATCCGAGCATGTGAAGATATCTCTCTACGCCGATAATACGGCTCTCCTCTCATCTTCCATGGGTCGTGAGCTCGGGGTCGTCTACATGCAACGTATCATCATGTATGCTTCAGACGTCTGGGGACAAGCGGCTCCGTCTAACATCTCTATTCTGGAGAGATTACGAAATAAGCTAATACGGATGATTCTGAATGATCCATGGTTCATGTGGAATGAAGCCATTCGCAGAGATTTGCAGCTGCCTTCCATCAAGCAGTCCATTCAGTCGAGGAATCGGCTAGTTTTTGATTGTACGGGAACTCACGATAATCCGTTAGATAGGGAAGCTATAGAGTATGCTGTAGACAACCCCTCCACAGCACTTCATTCTACTAGACTAGACACTCTACTCATAATATCACCAATCCATATCATAAACTTCATTTTCATTCGAGTTTCTTTCCTTGATCTCGCGTTTCTCGATATGCAACATGTTTCTAGAAACTACCACAAAATGTTGTCAAATCCATTCAGATTTAATATCCCACCGGTGTACATGAGAAAAAGCTCAATGAATAATTAAAACATATAAATATGGCATCAAAAAATATTTCTTCATTATTGTCACTATAAATCTCTAATAATGCATAATGAGCTTTTTGAAAAAAGTCACAGTTGAACTTAAAGGGCGCTGTATCATCAGCTCTTCAACCAACAAATATAGTTATTAGTGTGAATATGATATCTCGTATTCCACAGTATTGAAAATAATGTACAGGGCTCAGCGCGATGACTGTCCTTCAGCCGTATTTTAGGAAATGATAGTCCTCATATCCTGAAAATCAGCAAACATAGTTTTTTGAATATTCTTCATCGAATGGAAATAACAGCGTTTTCCAACACTATCAGTTATACATTTCTGAATACCTGGCTTAATTCGAATGTGAGTTCATGTAACACAACCTATACTGAACATGGAAACTTTCAAATATGTCCGAAGACATTTCCGGTTACTTTCATGCATTTATTAACTCTCTCCGACAAATTTTTACCTACACCACAACTGATTTCATCGGCATCTAGAGCATTGAATGCTTGTGAAACTCTTCTTACCAAATCCTCCTCACTTGTTGTAGAATCGGCGTATACAAAACGTCTAATACGTCGCCGTACATGATATATGTAGGAGACAGATCGAGAGAACGTGCTGGGCTAAAGGAACGTCCCATCATTGGTAATCCACCAGTCATAAAATAACTGATCGAGTAATACGCCTATGGCTCCATAATTAAAAGACGGTGCTCCATCCTGTTGGCACCAAATATTTTCCACATCTTCTACAGATGAAATTTTTCACTGCGACGTTCAAAACATTTTGTAGTATATTACAATATATATTACATCCACTATTGAAATTTTTATCATAGATATACATGCACATGCACATGCATTGGTCACGCGTGACCAATTTTTTTGGTCACGAGTGAGATGGGGATTTTAATCAGCGCAAAGAAGAAGCTCATGACGTTAAATGTTCAATTTTTGGTAAACTCAGCTTCATTACTCCATATATATTTATTTTTTTAAGAAAATGTGAATCTTCCCGACCTTTTATCATCAACCATTTACAAAACTCATTTCGAATATGCAAATCCGTGTCTTTCAGATGATATACCAGATGATATTTGAACGGTTTCCATTGATGCTCCTTTAAAATGCGGTGGGCAATTCGGGGTTTAACTGATAGGTTTTTCTCGCCATCTTTCAAAAACACATTCGGCTGAGCAGCAAAATATCCAGCAACATATCTTGATTATCGTTGAGAGGCTTTCGTTTGATTTTTATCGACAGAAATGGAAGATAGTTTTTCCAGATACCTTTCGGCAAATAACATTTTTTGTAGATAATCGTATGGGAAATAATTTTTATATCAACCTTCATTGACCACCGAGCCATAGGTCGCGAGAT